TCCCTAAGGTACGACATGAATATGCATCTTTTTCCTCTTTTCTCACCTATTGGACTAGAGGTATGCAATCTATCTTGATGGACTGACAATTTTAGCAAGCTTTACATTCACTCTTAGTGGATCCGGCCATTCTTCATACTACCAAGGCTCATCTACGCTCTTGCTCCGGCAAAGATGCAGGCTCGTGAATCTTGGCTCGACCATGCATCAGGGTTTGCCGACTTGCACTAGGTACTTTCTTTACACCTATGAGGTTTCATCTTGTCTTGGTCCATACATCTACATCTTCATTACTCACACATGAATGTGATATCATTTTAGATCTAGCACGTGTTCATATGACTCATTGCTCATTTGGAGGTCAGAATATAGCTACTCCTGATGCCATTAGGGATGTGATATATGGCGCAAGAGTATGGATACCTCACATGAATATTTTCCATTATGATATTATTGAGGCTAGACCCATGTTACACATTTGGTTTCATTCATATCCGGCTTGATGGGTTTCCCCATCCTTTTTGTTATTTTACTTTGTCCATTCATCACATTCTAACTGACCTGGATAGTCAGTTAGAAGTTCCCTTTGCACAGAGACTGTCCGATTCCCTACAGGCAAAGGTCCGCGCGAGGTGCAGAATAGATGCATCGTGTAACTGCTGATTCTTGGCCGGTGGCTACGATGTGGTTACTCCTAAAGTTTTGCCACGCGAAGTGCTTCCGAGCATGGGAACCTACCTTTACCGTAGTGATCATCTCTGAATGTTCAAGGAGATGGTCCATCACAAGAGCGTTGCAAATATCTTCGCATGGTTTACAAGCTGTAAAATTCGATACGGAGATCATCAAGCACCGACCGGGCCAGAGGTTAAACACAAGTCATACCGAAACCGAATAAGAATAAGAAGTAACTGTCACAATGACTTCTAGAATGACGATTGAACATACAATCAAAAAAATGTTTCGTGCATCAATCTCATCATAGACTACAAGCAATATGACGAAGATCTTCCACATAAAAGCTCGCTTAAGTTAGCAAATTCAACCTCATCATCATATACAACTTCAACTAGAATATCACGAACTTCAAATACTGAGATCTGTATGGACACGGCCAGCATGACACAACATGACACAACATGATGAGAGCAATTCACTTTGTACATTTGCTCAATCAGTTAATGCTCTGGAAGATACATGTGCTATTTAAATGTAGTTAATTTTCAACTGAATACTGCAGTGTTACAAATGCAAGTTCAAACTTGCTATACATATGGAGCTTAATTTGTATCTCTATGATCCAATTAAGGAATGGTGGTTGAATTGTAGTTTGTATAGGCCGACCTCCTTCTCTCCAAGTAAAAACAAGAAGTTTTCACCAAGATGGTGACCAGCCGTATACATTACGAAAGAATCTGATCTGAAAGTAAGTGGAAGAAACGGTGGTCGATTCTCTACACAGCATCAAAGACCAGAGAATAATGACAATCACGTTAGACTGTAGGAGAAGAAAATATATGTATTTGCAAATGTATAAATGTCGAGTGCATTCTTTGTTGAAATCACAAGTTGAAGTACAACTTTCAGAAGGAGTGTGTGGAATTTGTACAAATCAAATCTTGGGTCTTTCAATCTTGAGTCAAATTGAACTTAAGCTTGAAGTTCTATCACAGAAGGTGGGAGTTACTAATGCATGCGGGTGATGGTAGACCTATATCAATGTGAAAAGTAACTAGAGTGAAGTTGAAAGAGGAAACTAGTCAATAATTGCATTGAAAATTTTGCTGTCCTAGTGATGTTTTTACCCATTTGTGAATGCGGAATGATTTCCTTTGAAGTGATTGAGTTGTTCCAGTGAATGTGTTTTAGAGTTCACATTATTTCACTGCAGTGGAATCACCTTGTTAAGGAAATTACCTTCTGTTGTGCCCACAGGAAAACACATCCACAGGGAGCTCCAAAATGGAAACCCCGGCTGTATCCCTCTGCATTCTCGTGGTTTTGTCCTTGACAATCGCATGTCTGGCCCAGACAACATCCCGACTTTTACTTACTGGGAAAAGCAACGAGGCTACCCCGGAAGTTGATCATACGGGAAATCAGGGACAGTTATTCAAAAACTGGATGAGAGATCATTCCAAAACGTACGAGGACCAAGCCGAAGAGCGCTTGCGCTTTGATATATTCAAGCAGAATCTCGAGCTAATCAACGCTCACAACGAGAAGAAGAGCTCATTCACTCTGGGCTTGAACCAGTTTGCAGATCTCACATTAGATGAGTTCAAAACCATGTACTTGAGGAACAAGTACCACGACAAGGGCCGCCCTTGTAAAACGACTGGTTTTAAGTATGCCAATGCAACGAACCTCCCGGCCCTCGTAGATTGGAGGACAAAGGGAGCTGTCACACCTGTCAAAGACCAAGGCCAATGTGGTAAGATTGAAGAACTCGTGTTGATTGGTACGAGGAGCTACAGCCTGCACTGTCACCTCACAGGATGCAGCACAGCAACTTGACCATCCTTACGTCATTGATTCTGATTTCCTTGCTTACAACTGACTCTTAAAAAAACAGAGTTTGTTCGGGATCTATGCAAAGTACATTTACAATGATTATTTCTCTTTTGAATTTAGGAGAATCTGGTAGACTGAACTGCTTTCTGAAATCAAGGCTACTTTTTTCAGGAAGCTGCTGGGCGTTTTCAGTCATCGGCTCTGTCGAGGGTATCAACCAAATATCTACAGGAAAGCTCATCTCGCTTTCAGAGCAGGAGCTTGTTAGTTGTGATGTTTCCAACTATACCGCAGGCTGTGCGGGAGCAACATCCATGGACTACGGATTCCAGTATATTATGGAGAACAAAGGTGTTGACACCGAACGAGACTACCCTTATACAGCAGAAGATGGTGTCTGCAACAAAAACAAGGTATGAAATTTGTATGTTATTATTATGCGTCCTCACTATGTATATAAGTCACTACATATGTACCTATAAGCAGCATTTTAGCAAAGACTGAAATTTGAACAATTTTATGATGCAGGAGAAAAAGGATGCAGCTACCATTACCGGCTACGAGGATGTCCCTGTGAACAGCGAGAAAGACCTCCAGAAAGCAGTTGCTTTCCAGCCAGTCAGTGTTGCCATAGATGCCATGTCTTCGGACTGGCAATTTTACAAAAGTGTATGATCCATCATCCTGGATCTTGCACCGTGATACAGATTGATGGAGAGATCACGAAACTCTGTTTTTGTCGGTACATGCTCAAGTTAGTCCTGCTTTATCAGATTTCTGTAGTTTTAGTGCTTAAAAATGATGATTCACTAACAAACTTTCATTGTGTATTGGATGTCTGCAGGGTATCTTCGATGGCTCCTGTGGTACATTTCTGGATCATGGTGTGGTCGTTGTGGGATATGGAACATACAAGAAAGACGACTTCTGGATTGTGAAGAACTCATGGGGCGTTACGTGGGGTAACAAAGGGTACATTCTCATGAAGCGCAATGTGAACTGGCCGGAGGGAATGTGCGGCATTGCAATGATGGCATCATTCCCCACCAAAAGCACCAAGTGCTGAAGCATAATGATTTTGTTTTCTCAAGCTCATTAGCTTGAGAAAACAGAATTCTGTGAGCTTCGCTCACAGAATTTAAGCTTGTATATATGTGGATATAGCTTGTTTTCAAATTGTCCTCTCCTAGACATTTGAGAAAGAAAGGTACAGTTGTATAGAGTCTGTAGATTTTGTACATAATACTTTTCCATCAAATCAATTTGCACCTTCTGCACATTGTTAAATAAATATAAAATATTGGAGCTTATGAATTTACGAGATTAATATCGGGCTGGCAACCCCTATAATGCATGTGGCCTACCAATCAAATTCTTGGAGGTAAAATTTGCAAAGGTTTGAGGTGCTGGTTAGAAAGTCAGCATAACGTTTCAATCATTTTATCACATTTATAATGGATGGAGCTAGGGGCAAAAGTCTAGATACTGAATGCAATATAAAATTAAATCTTACATTGTATGGGTAATGTCCTAGAATGCTTGAACTATGGCCAGAGGCCGATAAGAGCATACTCACACACAGGATTCTTGAGGCTGATTCACCACATCAGATTGTCGGGATAATGCATGTTTTAAATTCTCAGAACGGGCTTGGATGGTTTGGAAATGAACACTCATGGTTAAATCTGAACTTTGTGGATAGATAACCAACGCTAAGGTATCATGCTTGCATACAGTCATGAAGCTCGGGAAATGATCTCATTGTCTCGATCTCTCTCGTATATGGGTCAATAAACAGATGAATGAGAAAAATGGAGCAGTTCGTTTCCTCTGGTTTTAAGAAAAAGACTGGACTCTTGAAGACCTTACGCACCTACTGACAGTAATTGTTGGGGACAGGATTGGCCCCAGATCCTCACTATCGATCTTATTTCATACCAGTGGATTGCCATTCTTCTAAGTAAACCTTACGGACTTTCCTTTGGCCTAGGTTGGACTTTTTATTGTACTCTTTTCGATGAGTTTTTCATCGCGTATGTTATTCCATGTGTCTCGGCATTTGAGTCTACCTAACAAACCTGAAGCGAATACACTTGTCGTAATTCGTCTTCATATAAAGATAACACACTACTATAGTTCATTGCTACTAGTTCCAATGGTTGTGTCAAAGTTTCTTTCTCAAAGGGATGTCTACACTCGAGATCACCTTTGTTGAGCCTAGCCTAAAATTCTGACTAGGAAAAGCTGTGTTACCTACTCACGAAATTTCGATTTAAAAGATTAAGATCAATTCACTGATGAATTTAAAAAGGGTGTAGTAAAATTGTCCTTCTATCAGTAACACCACACCTTTGACATTCTGGGGGGGTAAAGAGAGTACGATCTGGAATCAAAAAGTGGAGCGACCATGCGTGGGATCGGACTCAGGATTCCTAGCACCGAAAGCTACGGCCTTATCAATTGGACCATACGGTCTGAGTTAGCCTGCGCTGGAAAGAGGGCTCTACACTCCAATGGTGAGGTTAACAGCCACGCTCTCACCAACTGAGCTATTCCAGCTGTTATTTGACTTATCAAGAATGAATTCAATAAAATTCATTAAATCGATATAATTTGAATAAGATGGGATGAAGAACATAGCCATAAGAGAGAAAGGAGAAAGAGCCTGTTTTTCTTTATCTGCAGACATGGAGAAGGCTGGATAGGGGAGGATTTACATGTGTTCATTGCAGTGAGGTTCGAGAAAGTAACTACGAAGAACTGCAAACAAGCTTAAGATTGACGAATCAAAGAATGAATGAAGGTTAGAGCGCTGAAATGAGGTCTGCACAGCAATCAATGTTGAGCATTTCCGATTCAGAACAATATTAGCATATTCGCTACTCCGAGTTCCACAACACACTCCGAAACTAGTGTTTCTACATCAAAACTGATCGACCTATGCTCGCACTGATATACTATCAAACGAGAGTATATTTTGGCATCATATAACACATGTACATATATAACACATTTCCTCACACCCACCAATACTTTGTTTTCTCGTTGACGACCAGTGTTTCCAACATCTCTTCCCAATGTCTGATTCCCACAAATCCAGTCGTGGAGTTAGTTTCCCCACCCATGACGGTCAGTTCACTCAGTGAATTAACGGCATTTATTGAATTTCGATTTAAAAGCGAGTTGCGCCTTTGCGTGCATATAGAGTACGACTGATATAAAAGGTGCTGTTTACAGCGCTTTTTTACATGTACACAGTAAGTACATAATTCCAAGAACGAAGGTGGCCAAAATCCTGCGGACATACTGGGTAACGAGTTCAGAATTCTGCATCTCTGGCTGAGCTAGCGCCTACCACCTACACGTCTGTGGACGCAATCTTGACTACTGTACTTGAGAGAGCGGAGACAGTGACGAGCATTGCGGTTTGTTGGATTACATCCACACGCTGTAGTCCAGCTAAAAGTCCTAAATTGGTAGTTAGTGTGGCGCACAAAGTGTTTACCGCAAATTCATATCCATCCTTGAAGCAAAGCTTCACGTCTTGTACTTTATTTCCTCTTCCCGGCTCTTTCTGCGAGTAACCTCCTGTTTAGGTATGGACTTGTCATCCTCTCTTGGGTACCCTAATATTTAAGATTAAGGTTGAAGGTGTAAAAGGACTTGTCGGTTTATATGCACAACCTAGAACTGTATATGGAGAAGTGTTCGGAGTTTAGGATTCAAGTGTAGGAATAGATTCACCCTGAAATGTACATCCTAATTTCGATACTTGTGGTTATTCATGACAGTGGCTCGATCAACAGATTGTGATTAAACTGGATACATAGTGTAGAACAGTCAGACTAATTGCTTTCTTCAAAGTAGTGCATACTTGTAAGTGGATATGCATGGCATGCAACACTTCAATATTGAAATATACTCTGAAAACTATAGCAAACATAATCTCTACATTATTTCTGTCGTTGTGGAATTTGTTATACTTTGAACAAAACATATAACAATTTCCACATTCCTGGATTTCATTCAGTGAATGTCACATACAACTGCCCATATATGTAAAAAGAATGTCATCACTAAAACTTAACATACGCTGATATGATCTTTAGAAAATGATAAACAAAAAACAGTGACATATCCGTACCGGTGGCTATTAGCGATTTGTAGTCATCACAAATCATGCTTCACCTCCAGGTATAAACGCCTTGACTTTCACGCTAAGCTTTACATTGATGTTAAATATCCATTGTCAAACTGACGGTTTGTACACATACCTTCAAATTTGTAGTTTGCGGAGTTCAATACTCAATATTCGAAGAAGATGGTGAAAAAGCATACGGTTAGCCGTATACTTCACGACAGAATCCAATTCTGAAAGTCAGTGCTGGGGATGAAACGGTGCGTCGACATATACCTTCATACTTAAGACAGTCACTATATTCTGGTGCTTACCATCGGCTGAGAAAGTGAAAGAAGCAGGTGTATAAAAAGGGAGTCAATCCGGTGTTGAATTCACACATCAAAGTACAAGTTTCAGCCGGCAGATTTTCTGCCCATCCCGATCTGGAGGCAATTGTTGAGTTTGTAAAGCGTAAGTACAAGTCGACTGTATCTAGTATAAAGCATGTAGGACTCTGAGTACTTTGAGATGATATGTATGTATTGAATCTTCTGAAAAATAGATGTGTAGGACCTTCACCTCAAAGTGTGGAAGACGTATTGGCAATAGCACATGAAGGCGATCAGTGCTAACGAACATCTGATAACAAGACTCGTCTTGCTTTGTCATGCAGGAAAGCAATTATATCAAGCTCCAAAATGGAGGCTCCTGCTGTATCGATGTGCATTCTTGTGATTTTGTCGTTTACTAGTACAAGTCTGGCACAAAGGACACCTCGTTACTTGCTTAATGTGAACAACGACCAAGCGCTTCAGGTTAACACGGGAAATCAGGGAGATATATTCAAAAACTGGATGAAAGAACATTCCAGAGTGTACAAGGACGAGGCTGAGGAACGCTTGCGATTTGACGTCTTGAAACCTTGTGTTGACTTTGTCATCTAAAGCTTGTTCTTTTCATAGTTCAGAACGGCATGGTTTCGCTAATAACAGCTCACATATATTATCTTCAACACGACAATTTCTTAGCCTTCGGAGTCCCTTCAATAATTGCTGATAGGTTCATGATCCACCCCTGATTTCAAAATGCATAAGCTCACAAGACTGGTTTGGACCCTGTATGTTAGTTGTGTTGAAATGACTCGCAGAGATGAAACCTCATCTGCTCGGCCATCTCTTCAATCCAAATGTTGAATTGAATCCCAAGTTTAAAAGGGACCAATGCATGGACATAAAAGCAATGATTGAGGAGGAGGTACAGCAGGTTGCGAGTAGAAGAAGTGATCTCTTCAAGGCATGAGACTGCCGTACTTGGAATGCTCGGTGGTTTGTAGCTACTAAAAATGACCTAAAATTTGATTGCAGTCCGGAATGGAGAGGAACATGACATAATCGCGAGCGTGGAATGAGCCGAATCTTGATCTTGTCCATATCCTTGTTGGTTAATTAAAGTCAACCGTGACTCAACACCGAGTCACCGACTTACTGATGGGAGCAACAATAATTACACCGACACCTTCGTTCGTTCGACAAGAAATCTTTTGCGTTTTACTGAACGAAGTTTATCATTCCAAACTCAAATGACGATGAAACTGCTAATCAAGTATAGGTAAGGAGCGATATCTGTCAATGGCTACAGCATGCAAGTGTGGAGCATGAAGAGTAAGTAAATGATGACTTTCAAGCACTAGTTTTATAACAAAAACGCATCAGACATCATGGAAGCTGAGTTCTCACGTGGATCGTCCCTCCACAAAAACAATATTTGTGCCATTATCGACCTGGCGAACTGCTCACATGAACGCTCATGCAAGGTCATCTCCCACTATAAATCGCAGAATGTACAAAATGAAGCCGCGGAATTTTCATTCTCTCATTCATTCACTGGAAATAAAGTCTCGGTATCTCGCTCACATGCACATTTACTGAATTAGTTATTCGGCCAAGTCAACTGTCGGAGGCTGCACTTCTGGTGCTTCTGGCAACCAGCTCAACTTCATAACAAACATTTTGGCCAGCACGTCGGGGACTTCAAGGCAAAGGTGCAAGCAGCAGAGGCATGCTGTCAGGGAGTCAGATCGCTCTCATCGATTCACATTCATCGTGTTACGAAAATTTTAGTCAATTGTCAATTATAGCTAGACTCCAACAAATCTACCTCCGATTAGCCTGATGGCGTTTCTTTGCTTTTCTTTTTCTCTTCTTTTCTTTCCTGTTAGCCTGAAGGCTAACAGACCTTGAGGCGAAGCTTCAGCCGACAATTAAGCGAGCCATCGGCCGACGAAGTGCTGCGTCTCAAATTCCATGTGAACATGTGAGGTCAACGACACCCCTAAATACAAATGTAGCATGTGCGTGGAGTGCGAGGCTCAAACACAAGCTATGGCGGGACTGAAATTGAGACGTCGATTTAAATGCTAATCTCAAGATTTATACTATAAAACAATAGATTCAGGGACAACATCAATTTCGCCGTACTTTTTTCCACCGTCTGTGTTTGATGCAAGTCAAAGTCTCAACGCTCGCCCACTACAAGCTATCACAACGGGGCTTGTAATTCCTGTCATAACGAGAAATAACGCGTAGGCTACGTGAGCCAATTTCCGCTGCTCAAGATGAATCCAATGAAACAGAATCCCATTGCCAAATTCTGGCCATTGCGGAGGGTGTTCTCGATGCCGAAAATGTTTCACAAGGCTGTCACCTCTCCTTCCTCCCGTAGCCGGCGACAAGTAGGTAAAATGTTGAGCAGCAAATTTAAACGCGCCGTGTCATGGAGTACCAGCAGAAGTTCCAGGTACACCGTTCTTCCGCCTTCTCCATAAGCTTCCAATTCTCCGGTCCATGCCGCCATGGTCATGTAGGCGTAATTTTGAAATGAAATTGTCTTTTGCAGCTCAGTGGATCCACCGAATAGCTTGGAATTCAGATCCGACTCTCTTGTGCCCAATTAAACTCTCATCTGCTTCACATCTTGAGGAGCTTGTCTCGATGCGCCAATTAAGCAGTGACGGAATGCTCTAATGTCCTCGATCCAGCTGTTGCCATCGAAATCAATCCAACTGTAAAGGCTTTTGATTTCGACTTAGACTAGCTGCAGCATTCTTCATATCAGAGTTAGTGTGTGTCTTGGAACATTTCAGTTCTTAGATGGACAATCCTTTTTGCTTCTGGCTCTACCACAATAACGAGTGGTCCAACCCATCTTGTGGCACACTAGAGCCGTTCGAGATGTCCTTACATTAAAAGCTCGTGGTCTGATCGTCCTCACCAGCAGCACAGCACATGGTCTTGTCTGACAGTGCATGTGTTTGCCATGTCTAGGACCAAGTAGCTGGATTCCACAGCTCCCATTACAATGATTTGTCATGCCCTGCATTAAGCGCACCCCACCTCCACGCCTATTATCCATATCATTGTAGATGCACTTACGCAGCACGTAGAA